CCGCTGCGCGCCCGCTGCCATGGCTTTCCGCAGGAGGACGAAAAGTTACCCGCTCTTCAGCCAGGAGTTCGTCATCCACAACCATGCGGACATCGGCTTCTGCTTGGTGCTCTGCGTCCTCGTCGGGCTTATGTTCGAGGTGAGCGGGGCGGGGGGCGGCGGCGGGAAGACGGGCAGCGTACCCTTTGGTGTGCCGCCTGGCATTATCTCGCAGGTCCCCGCGGGGACCTCATCAGATTGGCTGCCTAGTACGGTTTTTGCAGTCCCCCGGCTTTTTATGCGCCCGTGCCCCGACCTTGCTTTGTGCACTGTACCCCTCTTTGGCTTCTCGTTTACCCTAGATATCACCTCAGGCCCTGCACGGTGCCACCCTACGCTGCCGCCTCCTTGGGCATCCACCGTGTCCGGCAGCTCTCACTACAGCCCCCCAACCCCAAGCTGGCTTCGAACCAACCGCAGCGCTGCCGCCCTGGCCCAAAGCGTGGGGTTTCCTCTTTGGCATCTGGAAGCCAAGGCTGGCGATTCCCAGCCCCACGGTCATTGCGCAACTCCTCCTCCCTAGCAGTGGCCACCAGCCCGTCTGAACTCCAGTGGGAGGGACCCTGGCCGCTGACATCTCCCACTAAAGCGTGGTGTAGTAGTGGGGTTCACATATGGCTCCTAGTCCCATCCATAAGTGCACGTCTAATGTGCTCCCATCCCCATCTTGAATGCCTCAGCCTAAAAGGCATGCTTTGGGGTCTCTTATCACTGACTGCCCCTTTAGATGCATCTGTGGTGGACCCAGAGCCGCTTCCCTTTACAGGGTCATGGTGAAGGACAGGACACCATCTGTTTGTAGAGGAAAGGTGACCCTTACCGCCGTGGGGATGGGGGGCAGGGGGTGGGGTGGGGGGACAGCAGCATACTGGCTTGGGCCTCATGGAACAGGGTGTTTCAGTAAGTCCTAAAGTGGTCAGACTCCAAGGAGCTGGATTCAGGAAAGGATGCCTTGCTCTTGGAGAGTGAGAAAACCGCGATACCGAAAAGTGAGACAAACCGAAGGAGACTGGGTATGGGACCTGCTGAGGTATACCTTGTCTGAAAAGTGAGCTACGGGGCCCTCCCCTCACTTTTACCTGAGTCTCCTGTGGTTCCTCTCCTCCCTTCTGGGTAGGATGGCTTCCCTGCACTCTCTGGGCATGGGCTAGGAAGTTGTAACCGTTTATAAACTGCCTTGGAGCCGGATGGGTGTGTAGCCGGGTGGATTTCTTCCTTCATGGGCCTCTGTCTCCAAGTTCCCTGGCTCCTGTTGACAGGTGACCCTGAGGGTCCTGGCTGGCTGGTGAAGCAACCCTCATGCTGAGCATTCTTGTGCTGCCCAAGTCAGGGTTGGACGTGTGAATGGGTCCATGGCTGGGCTTCAGGATCTATTGGAAATAAAGTTCAGATTAGGATTTGGGTCCACACTCCACTTTTTTCCCCAGTAGTGTACCTTTGGAGCCGAGGCCACCCTCACCACTCATTCCCCCTACAGTTCTCTCCCGATACATTGGGTAAGGCTTTGTCAAGGTGGGTGGTCCCTGTATCCCAGTCTTTGCTGGGGCAGCTCCAAAAAAACATGCTCACTGCCATCCAGTGGATGGGTGTAACTGCCCCTGTGAGTTTCTGAGCCTGTAACTGCTCATGGGAGTAGAAAGCCCTGTCTTTCTCCTTCGGAGAGGCTGGTGGTTTCAAACTGCTGACCTTCGGGTGAGCAGCCTAACTTGAAACCACTACACTTCCAGGGTTCCTTCAGCCTGACTGAAGAACTAGCTGGTGTCTTAGGTTTCCAACCATTAAAGTGAGGCTAGTAAACCTGTAACAACAGCTTGTAAGGCTGTTGTTGGGCTTAACTGTGATTGGATAGGCAGAAGAAAAGCCATAGCTTATTCTACAAATGTGTTAGCAAGTCTTTTGCTCCTTGAGCCCTGTTATTATTTATCATAATAATAGTTTAATGAAATAACAGCTTACCTCTCTCAGCTCAGACCCTGTGTCTGTTGACCTAGTGCCCATTCTAAGAGTTCTCCCAGTGCCCTGTCAGTGGTCTTGGGGACACAAGAGGCAGCTGTAGCCCTCATAGCCACATCGCGCTTTACAGCTGGTGAAGACTCTTGCATGGCCTCCTGGCTCTCTGCCATGGGTTTTTGGTACTTGGGAAGGTCTGTGGCTCTACCTGCTTTATCTTTGCTCAAAAAGTGCTCCCTAACTTTTGAGCTTAGTACCTCCTTCCCTCCCTGTCTCTTGTCTGGTGCAAAGAAAGTCTCAAGCATTCAATCTGCGTCTCTGTGGGAGTTGAAGAGTGCAAGGAGCACCTACTCCCGGTACCTGACAGAAGAGCATGTCCCAAGGCACAAAAAGTAAAAATTACACTGATCCGGTCCCGCTTTAGGATCAGACTTGGGGTGGTGGGGTGGTGGAAAGGGCCCTGGTTGGAAATCCCAGCAGGACCCCTGTTCCCATCCTCATCCACTACCTTCTTCCTGTAGAACCCTAGCCCTGTGACAGGTTTGGCTCTCTCCTCTTGGAGGTGGATTGTGAGATGGCTGGGGGCTAGAGAGATGGCTGTGCCCCACACCTCCTTCATCAAGGACAGTGTTTTGCTGAGCCAGGGTACACAGTAGGTTCTCATGGTTCATACCCATTGACTGACTGACTCTGCATAGAATTGGGGTGAAATGCATGGGACCCCGATGCCCATGTCAAATGAGAGCAGAAACATCTGGCATCCTTCTGGGAACTTAGGAGAAACAAATAGGAGCATCTTTACACTTGGAGTGAGGGACCGAAGGTGGCCAGAGGTTAAGCACTCAGCTGATAACCAAACCAGCTGTAGTTCAACCTGCTAGCCCCTTTTCCGGAGAAAGTGCGGCAGCCTGCTTCTTTAAAGACTGCAGCCTTGGGAATCCTAAGGGGGCAGTTCACTCTGTCCCAAGAGTAATTATGAGTCCACATTGACTTGGTGGCAGTGGGTTTTGACTCCTTATAATCCAGTGAATGCTTACTAGATATTCCCTGGGGCCTGAGTATATTTAGCCCTGGTTGGTAATGGAGTGGGCTGCTAATCACAGGTCAGCCTTTTGAGACCACCAGCCGCCGCCCCTCCCCACCTCTCACCTTGTTCATTTGCATTTAATCTCATATATCTCAGAAGAGATCGCCTCAAAATTTATACCTGAGTTTTAAATCTACTCCTTCACCTAACAAAGACACCCAATCCCAGAAGGGATGATAACAGGCACAGCTGTTAGGATTTAGAACCCAAAGTTGGGGAGGGGGCACACCATTCCCACTATAAAGCCCTGGACCCAAGTTTCCTCCTCTTCCTGAAGGCTGCTTGGACTAAAGCTGTTCTGTGCAGCCACAGCACTTGGCTAAAAAAATGTCAGGAATGTGGAGCTTTCCTTTCCCCCTCCCTCTCCAGCTTTCTCTTTCTAACTGCTTTTGGGAGAGGGTGGTGCAAGGGGGAGGATTCTACTCTACAGTTTGGTCCTTCAGTTCTTTCTTAGGTGGAAGTCTGGAGGGACAGTCCTTCAGGCTGCCAGTGACTGGCTGGAATGTGTGTGTGTGTAACTTGAAAGCAGCAGCCTCCCCCCCCCCCCTCCAGTGTCCTGTTTAGTGCCACGTTTCAAACGGAGAGGCCAGGGGAGAGGAAAACTCTTCACCAGTGAACAGAGCATGAGAAAAAGGGAGCCCATTGAACAGAGAGGAAGGGATTTACATACTACCTCTAAAATAGCATCTGGAGGCAGATGTCTCTTTTTAAGCTCAGCTGTATACCCTGCAGCAACCAGGAGCCGTTCCTGAAAGTTTGTTCTGTGATGACTGGAGAGTTTAGGGCTCAGGAGTTTGGGGGTAGTAACTGGCTTTTGCTTTTTAATTTTTTTGGAGACCTTTTCTCTAGGAAGTGCTTTCTGCTCTGTCCCCAACACCCACCGCGTTTGGCCTGTCAGGATGAAATGTTTGCACCATCTACAACGGAAGCCGTGTGGTGTCCCTGCTGTTAGTACATGGCTCCATGGTACCAGATCACCTTTCCTAGCCATACCTGTAGGCAGTGAAAACCTGCTACCCTCAACCTGCAGTGAGGATTCTTGTCTTGTCTCTGAACGCATTGTGCTGGGAGGGGAGGGGGAGGGTGTTCACAGAGAGAAAACAGCAAACCAAGTAAGTTGCTGTTAACTTGATCCTGACTCACCCGTGAGCCCATGTGGGTCTGCAGGGAGTTGTGCTCCGTAGGGTCTCCCACGCCACGTTCTTCGGAAGTAACTTGCCAGGCCTTGGTCCTAAGGTGGCTCTGGGTGGACTGAGCCTTCCAGCTTTTCAGTGAGCAGTCGAGTTCATTAACTGCATCACCCACCGACATACAAGGGGCTTCAAAAAAGTTCATGGACAAATGAAACAAAAAGATAACAGGATGTTTGCACAAACTTTTTGACGCCTCTTCGGAGGTCATATTTCTTTGACTCTCTCCTAAAGGCACGTTTGCAGAAGTTCCTGCGGACAGTTTTGGAAATCAGAGAGACCGCTTTTCTAGTCCCCGACTTTATGTACCTCCCTCCCTCCAAACCCAAACCAAACTCACTGCTCTTGAGTTGATTCCTACTCGTAGCCACCCCGTGGGTTTCAGAGACGTGGCTCTGTCCGGGAGTAGAAAGGCCGTCTCTCGGCCATCCACTTCCCTAGCCTCTGGCGTGATGCTCTGTCTGTGTTCTGGAGCTGCTGAGGGGAAACGAGAGGAGGCACGTATTCTCAGGGGTGCCTTTGTTCAGGGACCGGGTGTCTCCAGGTATTGCTCATTGATTAGAACAACAGAGCAGAAATTTGGAATTTGGAGCTGGAGGTCAGGCCTCAAATGTTAACCCTATCCTATGACATGTAAGGGCATGTCTGTTAACCCTAATTTTTTTCTTAGTGACAATGCCCTATCTAGAAAGACAATATGATAAATTAGTGTGTGTGCAAAGTTTGTGCAAACCCTAAT